ATGGAAAGGGTAAAACCCACGTCTCATGGCCATTGTGAGGATTAAATGAGATGTTATGTAAAGAACATGGTAGGCACTAAAATCTTACTACTCTTTCTCCCTGACATCCAAAATGTAGAAAAATCACTCAATCTAGGAAAGTCAGACAAACACCGTGGAGGATAAGGATCCAGTCACTGCACTAGAATGGAGATTAGGAGAACAAGGCATCTTATGTCACAAGATAACCAATGATATATATATAATTTGATCATCTTGGGGCAAGACCAACTGGCTATAACCTAAGATGATCAATCAAGTATCTAAGTTTGTGTGGGAATAAGAGGTTTCCTGGGATCTGGAACTTTCAGAACTAAAACCAAGAGTCTCAGGCAAACCAGGGCAATGGTCACATTGCTTACCCAGCAATAACTAAACAATCAAGAATTTTGGATCGTCCTTTATCTCAGTGGGAATTTTCCCCTACATATACAACAAAAGGTTCAGATATGGGTTTTTTATGCCCTTAGGTTATGTTTATCTTTATCCTCCCCTTGACTGTCAAATTTCTCCAAAGAGTGGTCTCCACTTACTGTGTCTTCCTGCTCAGCACATGTCCTCTCTCAAAGTCACTTATTTGGTGTATCTCCAGAGCCTGGCAGAAGATCTTTAAATAGCATAATTAAAAACAAAACAAACAAAAGAAACAGCATCTTTGTTACCTGTGTGCATTGTTTTTCTTTTCTCTTAAAGGGTATTTTCAAATAACGTCAAAGACATGGAGAGCAACAGGGCTCCCCCACAAATGTTTCCAGCTTCAATAGCACTGTTCACAAGAACCATTCTTTGTAGAATGATTTGTTGTAGAATGATTAATTGTAGAATTAATTCTTTGTAATGCTGAAGGATAGGAAATGATTAGGCTTAGAGTTCATCACCGCTCTCCCTCCAGCCAGACATATCCCTGCAGCTGGGGCAGAGTTCTCACTACACACATATAGAGCACACAGAACTAGCTAGACCTGCTTTTCCCTTCCCAGAAACTAGTCTCAACTTTGTGACAGAGCCAGGCTGGCAAATAAGAAGTTGAACATTCCTGCTGCTGGTAGCTTCTTTCCTGTAGCTCTATTCCATTTGGGATCTGCCCCTTCTTTCCCACCTAAAAACCAGTAGGGGACTCTTGAATCATCCAGACTCCATCTTTATTCATGAGTGTCTTTTATGCATAGAAAGCAGATGAGCACACTCTCCCAGCCAGGGCACAGGCCCTGCTAATATTGGAATGTGTGTTTAATGGTTTCCCTCTCCCCTCTAAGCAAATAACCACATTTTGAATGGCAAGGATCCCATTGCACAACTGAAATGCCACATTTGCTCTGGCAAGAGCTCTTTGGGGACCTGCCATGAGCAGTGGCATTGTTAGCATTGTTCTTCATCTTGAGGCAACATTCCAGGCTATTGCTCACACTTTCCCTCACATCAGGCCACATGGTTCTGACTCTTCCCTCTCTGGTCTCTCCTCCGGCTTTACTTCTCCCTACTGTCTCAAAAGTGGTCATACTCAGCTAGGTACTTCATGGCTCAGATGCCTATTCTGTGTTCTTCTTTCCTCAGTCATGGCTTCCTCTCTCACTTTTAAGTGAATAATTCTCAAATCTGCATCTTTCCATTCTATCCTCATCTTACTATCCACATGGTCTGTCATCACCTTAAGCAACTTGTATTAAACTTGTGGGGCTCATCTTTCCCCCCAAAAAACAATTCCCTCTTCAGACTTCTGTTTTTCTCAGAATTACATGCAATATTCTCTCTTCCTAGTTCAAAATCTTGGCATCAAATTTGACTCTTTTTTCCCCATCTCCAGCCAGAAACAAAAATGCTGGGATTCCCTTGTGATGCCCGTCCTCTGCCTCATCTTGCCTAACTCCACCACCGTCAGTCCTACCCCTGCAGCTTCATCACACTGTCCACGAAGTAGTTTCTTGCTCTAAGTCCTTCCATGCCATCCCTCCACTGCCGGTTAACGCCCCAGTCACAGTGTTAAACGGTCCCTTACTGAGCACCAAATAATTCCAGATGCGTTAGCCTCTCATTTACGAATTTTCACAGGAAGTCTTCAGTGGACTCCCCCGCCCCCCCGGCCCCGCCCAGGAGTGGTCAATCTAGAATATAGCAGAAGCCTAACTGAATGTTCAGTTGTATGTTAGAAGGTCCAGTAGCTGGACTCTTGCATCCAAAAGATGTCCTCTTGCCCGATCCTGTTCTGCTCCATCTCAGTCCCGCCCTCACAGCCCTTTCCTCTGCTCAATTCCTTCTCTGGCTTTAACACCTTCATTTATCTTCTCCTGGGCCCTGAATCTGCTTGATGGTCTCACTTGCAACTTCTCACCTGCCTCTTGATTCAGGCTTTTAGGGATATAGGACTCTCTGCCACAATCCCTCTTTCACACTCAGTCGTCCCAGTGCATAAGAATCAGATGGGTAAGGTGTTAAGGATGTGAATTCCAGACACACCTCTCACTTAAGTCAGAGGCACAGCCCCCATAGCAGTGCTGTCCAATAGAACTTTCTTTGCAGATGGAAATGCTCCATGCTGTGTTGTCCAATAGAGTAGCTACTAATCATATGTGGCACCTGAAACTTGAAATGTAGCTAGTATGACTGAAGAACTGAATTATTAATTTTATTCCATTTTGATTAAATTTAAATAGCCACATATGGCTGGTGGCTGCCATTTTTATAGTGCAGATTTATAGATTTAACAAGCATCACAGCTGATTCTACTGAGCAAAGGTGTTTAAGAACTACTTAAACAAGCAGTCCAGGTGATGCTTATGCTCCCTTACTGGCACACTGCAGGTAATCAACAAATGTTTGTCGAAGGAATGGATGAACAAACAAAAATATGAACAAGTCAGAATATAATTTCCTTGAGACTTAAGGCTGTCTCTTCTGAAAAAAAAAAAAAGTTGAGGGGACTTTTCCAAATTGAAAGAGTTTAAAAAGACCACCCAAACATAATAAACTGACCTTAAAGGGATCCTGGCTCAAAAGTTTAAATTAAAAAAAATATATATAGAAGACATTTTTTGGCATTTTTGGGACAATTGAATAAATTTGAACATGGACAGCAGATTACGCAATATTAGAAAATATTTTTTAGTTTTTCTTAGGTGAGATAATGTTATTGCAGTTGCAAAGGAAAATGTCCTTAGTCTTAGGAAATACATGCTGAAGTACTTACGGATGAGGTGTCATGATAACAGCAATTTGTTTTCAAGTGGTTTGGCAAAAATTGTGTGTGTGTGTGTGTGTGTGTGTGTGGAGAGAGGGAGAGAGAGAAAGCAAAAGTGGCAAAATGTTAACTTTTGGATCTAGGTAGAGTACACGGGTGTTCATTGTATACGTTCTTTCACCTTTCTTATGTATTTGAAATTTTTTTTAAAGATTTTATTTATTAATTTATTTGAGAGAAAGAAAGAGAAACAGCATGAGAGGGGAGAGGGTCAGAGGGAGAAGCAGGCTCCCCGCTGAGCCGGGAGCCCAATGTGGGGCTTGATCCCAGGACCCCGGGATCATGACTTGAGCCGAAGGCAGTCACTTAACCAACTGAGCCACCCAGGTGCCCCTGTATTTGAAATTTTTTAAAAAGTTGAAGGAAAATTCACTCACAATGAACGAACAAATCCTGAAGTAAAATAAAATAAAATTACAAAATACTGTATTTTCTGACTTTTGGGTGCTAACTCCACCCCACCTACCCACCCCACCCCACTCCATCCCAGACTAACACAGTGCCGACATTATGCTACAAATTCTCTAGACCAGGTGCAGCAAACTGGCAAGCTATAGATCCTATGTAACTTGCATACATGTTTTTCCTTGGCCCAAATAGAGAGGTTTTTTAGAAAAATTAAATTAGTTGCCAACTTCAAAATTCCAAGGATTTTTACCTTGATACGTTATGTAACAAAATTTTTGCAATATAATTAAATATAAAAATATATATAAATATAAAACACTTATTTTATAATAGCAAACATGCATTCATCAAGTCTACGAGACAAGTACCATTCTAAGAGTTTCAAGTATTTAAATCATTTACTCCCCACAACAGCAGGTTAGTACAATAGTACCTATTGTACTATTCTTATTCTATTATTAGGTACTATTATTATTCTCCCTTTACAGATGAGGAAAATGATGAACAAGGACATTAAGTAACTTTTTCAAAGTTTCACAACTACTGACTCCTAGTGCTGGGTTAAATCTTATATAGTCTGCCTCCTAATCACTACACCATCCCACCACTTGCAAAAATCTGTATTCCCAGTTTCTCTGGAAAAATCAGATGATCTGGCAACAAATTCCCGCATGGGACCAACTGACCAGAGCCAAGGAGCTAGATTCTCCTGAAGGCGGGGCATCTTCTCTTCTGCATGCTAGAGTCCCCACTCGGCCCGCCTCTGGGCCCTTGAGGTCTGACCCCTGCTGTAGCCATGGCACAGGTGAATTCACCATGGTGAAGGACAGTTGGTAGATATATCACAGACATTTGTACACTGCCCCAGACCAACCTGGATAACAGGTTGTGGGCATGAAGCTCTAGTGGGAGAGAAAGCTAGAAGGTTAACTTGGGCCAGAAGAGCATGTGGCAGTGATGGGATGTATGGATGGGTGGAATGTCAGGATAATTGTTGGTAGACAATGGAGAAAAGTTACAAGAAGCAGAAGATATACATCCCATGGCTGGTCAGATGCCCATCAGAGGACAGTGTCAGTGAGAAGAGTGTGGGCCAACATGACCCACAATTCCATCGCTTAGCAGCTCTATCACCTTGGACAAGTTATTTAACTTCTCCAGCTTCCATTTTCTGGACTATAAAATGGGCAATGACATTTATCTCCAGGGTGGTGAAAGGATTTAAATAAGAGTATGCAAAGTCTCTTTGACTCCTGTTCATATACATAACCAAAATACTTTTCTTACTAATCATTTATATTTTCATGTTTTCTCCTAGATTTAAAAAGCAAGAAGAAATTAGGAAGCTATGGTAAGTACCAGATGCTTATTGGATCTTCATCGTTCAGGGGTCCAGATCTGGCTGGCTTCACTTAACCTGTAGCCCAACAGCTGGCAGATTTGCCCTTATGGTTTGATGATATTTATTGACTTTAGGCCAAACCAGAGATGTTAGAGCAGAACTTAGAAGAAATTGACATGGAGTAGGGGAAAAGCAGAGAGCTGAGAAAGATTTGTGAGCAGAGATTTTTAAACTTTAAAAATGAAAACCCAAACATCCAGCAATATACTAAATGGCTGATAATTCCTTCCTTCAGCAAATTGAGTATCTATGATGGTCCAGGTGCTGGGATGCAGATGTGAACAAAATTAGACATGGCCCCTGTCTTTCCAGCACTGGGGAGATAGCTGATTAAATGAATGACAGCACACTCACTCTGGAATGTTCACTACCATTAAGAAGACAGTTTGCAAAGAATCATTAATAAAACAGTATGGTCTCATTTTATAATAGAGAGTTACAAAGCAGGACGCAGAACTGTATTCATAGTATTAATGGGGTCATATAAATCACCCATAATCCACAACTCAAAACAATTATCAACAGTGTAGTCCATTACAGTCAGCTTTTTTCTTTTTCTATTCTAAACACATCTGCAATATACATAGAAAACTATTGGAAAATGAAGAAAAGAGTGTTGGTAGTTGTCTATTCGTGGGTTGTGGGATTATGAGTGATTTTGCTTTCTTCTCTATGATTTTCTAGATTGCTCAAGGTTCCCATAATAAGCATGTATAAACAGGAAATAAGTCAATTAAAACACAGTCACAGACATGCCTAGAACTTCTCTTCCCCATTTGTTTTCTCTTTCTCCTTGCCATTGATGTCTCTAGGGCAGGGCACGCAGGCCTCTACCTGGGCAGCACAGGCATTGCGAGAAATGCTTTAACCGTCACTGCCACATTCCTGTGGAGCCTGATGTCTCCTGTCTGGTGATAAACTGCCACCTGTCCTGTGGTGCCATCTTCCACATGTGCAAAGAGGCAGAGCATGAGCTCCTTTGCCCTCTAGAGGAGGTTCCATGCCTCAACTCCGAATATGGCTGCCCCCTTTCCATGTCCCGCCACAAGCTGGCCAAGCACTTGCAAGTGTGCCCTGCCAGTGTGGTCTGCTGCTCCATGGAGTGGAATCGCTGGCCAAATGTGGACTCTGAAACAACCCTTCATGAGAACATCATGAAAGAGACCCCCAGTGAGGAGTGTTTGGATACAGCTCTGGCCCTCCAGGACCAGAAGGTCCTTTTCAGATCTTTGAAAATGGTAGAACTTTTCCCAGAAACTAGAGAGCCCACTGAGGAGGAACCTACTGTGAATGGTGAAGCCAGCTGGGAGGAAATGGGAGGAGCAGTGGGTGGGGCAGAAGCCAGTTTGGTACCACATGGATCTCTATCAGCAACTAATGGAGAGATGGCAGAACTGAGTCAAGAAGAACGAGAGGTGTTAGCCAAAACCAAAAAAGGGATGGACCTAACCAAGTTTGACAAGTGGGAAAACATATTCAGCAAAGAGCATGCAGCCTCTGCTTTAACAAGCTCATCAGTAGGCTGTGAGAGCAAGAGTGAAAACAGCCCAGGGAAAGAACAGATTTCTAGCAACAATAATGTGGTAGGAGAGGATGCTCTCAAAGAGAAAGAACTGCAGGAAAACCAGAAGCAGCAGGACTTTCATGGAGCCCTGGAAACGACAGGGCTCGCCCCTTGGCAGGATGGTGTTCTGGAAAGACTGAAAACAGCTGTGGATGCAAAAGACTATAATATGTATCTGGTGCACAACGGGAGGATGCTTATTCACTTTGGTCAGATGCCTGCTTGCACACCTAAGGAGAGAGACTTTGTTTATGGCAACCTTGAGGCTCAGGAAGTGAAGACTGTTTATACCTTCAAAGTTCCTGTGAGCTACTGTGGGAAGCGGGCTCGTGTTGGAGATGCCATGTTGAGTTGTAAACCAAGTGAACACAAGGCAGTAGACACTTCAGATTTAGGGATTACAGTGGAGGACCTACCCAAATCAGATCTCATCAAGACCACACTCTTGTGTGCTTTAGAAAGAGAACTTAAAGGTCATGTCATCTCCGAATCCAGGAGCATTGATGGGCTGTTCATGGATTTTGCTACACAGACATACAATTTTGAGCCAGAACAGTTTTCCTCTGGGACAGTGCTGGCTGACCTCCTAACCACTGCCAACCCAGGGGGGCTCCATGTGGAACTCCACAGTGAGTGTGTGACTAGGAGACACAACAAGAGCAGCTCTGCCTTCACTTTCACTTGCAACAAATTCTTCAGGAGGGATGAATTCCCCCTACATTTCAAGAATGTCCACACAGACATTCAGTCATGTCTCAATGGCTGGTTCCAGCATCGATGCCCTCTCGCCTACTTGGGATGTACATTTATTCAAAACCATTTCCGTCCCCCAGGGCAAAAGGCAAAAGTGATCTATAGTCAGGAGCTCAAGACCTTTGCCATCAAGCCAGAGGTTGCTTCAGAGCTGAGTGAGACAAAGAAGAACCATCTCTCAGGCCATGGAGGGAAAAGCCAGAATTGTCTAACCAGCCTGCCGCTGGAGGTTTTGCAATACATTGCTGGGTTCTTGGACAGCATCAGCCTGTCCCAGCTTTCCCAGGTGTCTGTGCTGATGAGAAATATCTGTGCTACTTTGTTACAAGAGAGAGGGATGGTCCTCCTGCAGTGGAAGAAGAAGAGGTATTCTCATGGAGGCACCTCCTGGAGAGTCCACAGAGAGGCAAGTAAACCCTAATTCATTCATTCATTCATTCAACAACTATTTAGTAAGAGCTTTCTGTGTGCCAAGCACTACACTAGGCACTGGCATTGTACTAGGTTCCTGGGAAGACGACATAATCCCTGAACTCAAGGAGGTCATTCTAGTAGGGAAGACAGACCTATTGACATATAAATGACAATACAGATGGTAGTACCTGTTTATCTCATTGTATGTGTCCTGGATATCTTCTGTTTGCTCACATGATTCATTCTTCAACCTGTCCACTGTGATCAGTCCCCCAGGAGGCTGATCTCTACAGACTGCCTCAATCAGCAACCTTACCCTCCAGCTTCCAGCTGGGCTAATCTAATGGGAGTGTGTCAGTGGGAAATTGGAGGGAGGAAGAATGAGTTGACAAATCTATTCTTCTGGCTTCCTCCCTGTATTCATTCTCCCCTCCATGACACTTAGCACTGGCCATGTCCCTCCACTGAAGGTGACTGTATCAGGTGACTCTCTCCACACAATTACTCATTCTTGGTTCCAATGACCTCCTTTCTTCTTCCCTTTCAGGCCCAGGGTATTAACACTCTAGATTGTTACTAGCCCGGGTACTGCATTATATCTTGTGGCTTTCCTACACCCTGCTCACACATTTACATATCGTTATTTTTTTTTAATTCTCTTCAAATTACCCAGTTTAAGTGTGCCATCTGTTTCCTGCCTGCAGTCTGATACAATACGCCAACAAATTCTCCTCGGTCCCATATCAACTAATATAAAAAACAACAAAACAGTTTTTGCCTTTGTTAAAGACATTTTGAAATTCTAAAATAATTTGGTCCACTGATCTCTCCTGGTTCAAATATCTATTTACTTTCTCAAAAAAATTATGCTGTATAAATCAAAGAATCTTTCCCTTTGGAAAAATTTTATTCCTTTTTCCGAATCTTGCTGAACTGCATCATAACTTCTATTAGCTTATACCATACAAAAGTGAAACTCCTAATTCATCATTTATGAGATGCCCTTAGCATCCTTTTCCATGGTAAATATGTGGTAATATGAACCACAAATTGATGGTACCCATTAAGGTCAATAATTCCATAATCTCAGTGTTGAATTTCTTCCCAAAATGTGGGTGTGTGCAAACTGGCACTGGAGAGTTAGAGTTGTTTACACATATTTTCACTGATTGTGTCTAAAACATCTTAAATGTTTTCCGTTATTTATTCCCTGAGCAGTCTTCTCCAAAAAACAATTATGAGACTCTCCTTCATGTATCCAGGCCTGCATCCATGTGTTAAACACTGACTGCCACCCATCCACATGTTAGGGATAAACATGAATAAGACTGAGATCCTGCCCTTAGGAACTGTATGGTCTAGAACGTCTAATATCTTCCTCTATAAAATCAAATGTAAATAATCTACACATTAGAAATTCCATTATTTTTTGGCTCATGTTTTTTCCTAATTCAGTGATTGCTGACCACTCCAGAATATCATTTGAGACAAACTAATTTCCCTTTAGAAAGGAAAAAAGAGAATTTAGTTGGAGCTAGAGGATGCTTATATTAAAATGGCTTTTTTAAAGTAAAAACAGAAATAGTCCTAAGATCCCTGGAAACACTTTTCTTATATTGGAACAATGATAAGAAACTGAAGGTAAAGTGTCAAGTTGAAAGTATGGTATTAGGTTATGCCTACCCTCATAGCCAGATTTTAAAACTAGTGACTTTGCCACCACAGCCTAGGTAGAAAGGCCAAAAGGGGTTTTTGTGCCAGACACTTAGATTTCTTCTGAGGTTTCTATTCTAGTGAGACTCTTCTTAGTTAGGATACTTTTAGTTTTAAGCAACAGAAAACCAATTTAACATGGCATAAATAATAAAGGGAACTTTCTTCCAAACGCAATGGCTCAGGCAAAGTTTGATCTAGCAGCTCAAAAATGCCCCCAAATGACCTTTTTACTTTCTATTTCTTACCTCTACTTCCTCTCTAGTGGCTCCATTCTAAGACAACAGCTCTCCCTAGGTGGTCCCTGGGGGCTGCCAGCAGCACCTAAGACTGAAGTTTCACAGTTCAAGTGCAGAGGGAAAAAGAGAATCTACTTCTTGATATCTCAAGCAAAAGTCCTAGGGTAGAGTCTCATTGACACGAATTGTCCTGATGTGAACCATGTGTCTTTCTAGAATGGATCACTGTGGCTGGTGGGAGGGGTGGGTGTGTGGTAGGCACTCCCACCCAATTACATGGCTGGCTGGGAAGTTTATCAACTGGAAGGGTGAGCTAGGAATTGGATGCTGACGAAGGAGCTTACAAATGTCTGCAGCAGCCACTAAACACTCTCTGGAAGCTAAGAACGTGAAGAACAGAAAGGTATTATACTCTTCAAATAAAGCCAGCCCGAGGGTATTGCCCCAGTGTTAACTTTTGAACTTCCATGTTTCCTAACAGATCTGGCAATTCAGTAGCCTCTTCTCCAAAATCAAGAGCTGGGAGTTTAACGAAGTTGCCTCCATGTCTGAACACCTGAAGGCCTGTCCTTTCAATGTTGTAGAGCATAAGACCGACCCAATTCTTTTGACCAGCATGTGTCAGCTCCAGGAGCTGGCCCGAGAGAGCTTAGTCACCACCTTTAGAGCCAGACCACGAGGAAGACACACCTGCTAAAGATTCAGATGCCACCATTCTTGGATTCGCCCTCTGAGTTACTGAAAGTAGGACAGAGTGTGATTTTGAGGACTTTCTTCTGTAAACTGCATACACGCTTATCTAGGTGTATTGGAGCACGCACTGCCCTAAACCTGAGCAGTTGCACAAGGTCTAAGCATTTCCCAAGCCTTGGCTTGTACACTTGCTATAAGGGCCATACTGATAACATTTTTCCTTCCCCCACCCTTTTTTTTTTTCCTAAAACAAATCAGTCTGAGGAGAAAATAGATAACTTGAGGCCACTTGAAAGATGAGCCCAAGTCTTAGGAAACAAGAGAGCAGTGAAATTACATAACCAGCACAGGCCTGTGCTTTTGTGGAGAACATTTTAGTTGATAAGCATTTTCAAATAAATATAGGGGGCAGGTAATGCAGGAGGGGGCACTGAGGTGCGTCCCAGGGCACCCAGGGTTTGACGGTTCTGGAGCTGGGGTTATCTTGATGGTTAAGTCCAGGTCTTCTTTTAGTTGCTCCACCACCTATAAGCCCAGGAAGTCCAAGCACAGCACAGCCCAATAAAATGGAGACCTTGGCTGAGCACAGCAGCCTCAAGGGCATCACAGGCCAAAGAATGAGAGGCAGAAATGAGGTCACAGAGTTTGTTGTGGAGAATCTTGGCAATATATAGAAGGACAGCCTTGCAAAATGAGAAAGAGTCCAAAGGAGACATTGAATTAATGGAGAAAACTAGCACCAAAAGCCACAAGACTACTTTTAAACATGTCAAAAATGACCTAAGAGTCAAGTTTCTTTTCTTCTTAAAATTATATTCCAGGTGTGGATTAGGGATAGCATAGGCACCAGCCTGAGCTAGCTGAGATGACCGCAAGACGCTAACACCAACTTCAGCGTCATGCAAGAATGCGTGCCCGGAGAGATCATGCGTTCGGCAAAGTCCAGACAAGGCCCACTGCAGTTCCCGTGGCACCAGCCACCAGGTCCCGGACACCACTCGAGTACCCTGTGGGGGACCATGAGAAGGAACACTCCTGAACATAGTAGTTCCTTGTAATTGCTCCTACCTATTGTTGTTCATGACTCCAGTCTGTCGGAAATGGGTGATATGTTGGTCTTGGGTAACAAACAGTGAATACTCATGAAAACAAGAGTAAAATACATGATAGAAACTGCCATCCCCTTAAGCAGGGTTTCTCAGAACTACTGACATTTTGAACTGAATAATTTTTTGTTGTAAGGGACTGTCCTGTGTGTTATAGGATATTGGGCAACATCTTTGGCCTCTATTCAATAGATACCAATAGCACTCCCCCTGCTGTAACAACCAAAAGTGTCTCCAGACATTGCCAAGTATCCTCTGGGAGTGAAATCACTCTGGGTTGAGAACCACCCTAAACAATGTCATACCAGCGGCAGTAACTTAGGATAAGTTTTCAGTACAAAAAATCTTACATAATGATCTACAATGGTTATGATTTTATGTAGTTCTTCTTTATTTACTAGATAAGTTTTAGACAGATGTGATTTTAAGTTGGGAGCCAGATGGAGCTGATTGTTTGGTGTGGCTTTATGTCCTTAAGTCATGTGCAAGTCATGTGCAAAAAAATAAATCCTTTCAGCTCTCTCCAGATATAGCAGAAGCAGGGCATATTGAGCTATTTATCTTGTGTTTCTTTCCCTCTCGCCTGAATCAGTGCCATTTTCCCAGCAGTCCTCAAGCAAGTGAGAAAGAAGGGAAAAGGAAGACAGGTATTATGGGGAAGCAGAGAACAAAGAATTAAACAACAAAAAGAAAAAGAGTCTAGTCAATATGGATGCTTTTTGTTGCCTGGGTCTCTCTCAGAACATGGTCCAGAGCTGGTATAGATGAAGTAGAAGACACTTGTGAGAAGAGTCAAGGAGGTATTAAAGCAAGTCCCAGAGTAGAAACATGCTCATCTTTTCATTATCATGCACCACTTGGTACTAGTTGGTAAAGTAACTCTATGTTTCTTAATCCTTTTTGCTTGGTTTATATTTCACATTTGTATATAAGGTACCATTTTCTAAAAATACAACTAGAGTGTGAGCTATGATTTTATTCAGTGAAGATGAGTAACTGGAAACAACTGAACACTGAAGCGGGAAAAAAGGAAAAGTTCTCCTTTTGAATCTAGTTCCCTCCTATCTGGAGAAAGAAAGCTCCTGATGTCCACTCAGGGTCTCTTCTCTTACTAGAAAAAGAGAGAAAGGGGAGCTATTGACCAAGGGAGATGAAAATCAGGGGGTGCTCTTAGGCAGATGAGAAATAGAGAGAGAGGAAGAGAGCAGAGTGTTTTCCTTCACAACCTGGGCAGCTCAGAGTTCAGGAGAGCAGCCAGGAGACTGCCCGTACCCCTCTGTGGGCTGCATACTTGCAGTTCATCTTTATTTTCCTAGTTGCTGCCGTTGGAGCAATATTGATCAACATCATCAAACACATTTTGTAAGATATCTAATTGAATATGTTGCAGGAAACCAGGGTACTACAGGTGTACACCGGTCTACACAAACAGGCACATTTTATGGTGAGAGGGCAGTTGGAGCAAGAAGGAAGCCTTTTAGAGAGACTGTGGATCAGACAGAAAATTGGATTCATGAGATGAGGCCATGGTGAGTAGCATGAGCAGCAGAATTACCTGACAGAGGCAAGACAGCTAGACATGGCCTCAGATTAAGAAGCAGCTGAGCAGAGCAAAAAGGAATAGGAATAGGAGCTTGGACAGGGAGGTGTCTATGAACAGACTCCTTAATGAGTATCACCACCAAGAAAGTCAATCCAGAGTAGAGATCAGCCAGACATGGAGGGTGGAGTCTGTAGCACTGAAGCAGAAAGGAAGTTTTTGTCTTGTAATGAAGGGAAAAGTGAAAAACAATGTGGGACTTAGAGATGTAACAGGAAAACCACTGTCAAAGTCTGATCTATGTGTGATAGCGAGTCAAATTGAAGTGAAGAATGAGATTGTGTATATCTCTGGTGACTTGCCTCTGGATGTTGGAAATTCCAATGTCTCCAGAAGCAGAAATAAAAGCTGTTTTGCACTCTGGAAGGCTAGCTGGGTGAGTCTTGTAAGTTAGGTCTAAAGACAGATTTGTGACTCACTGGCACAGAGGTCATTGTGGAAACAAAGGAGTGTGTGTCTTAAAGAAAAACCAAGGAACCAGCCTGAGGGATGCAGTGCTCATGTGAGGAGCTCACCAACTTTACGAAGTCCTAGAGCAATTATGGATATCAGTCACTAATCCTAGCTGCGCCTTGATCCCACTGTTTTCTTCATCTTTGCCCCAAATCCCTGACTTTTATTTTGATTTTGCCTAGGATCTCCTACCAGACCTTGCCGAACCCAATGGTCTAGGCCTTTCATTCTTTCTCATCTCCATAATTTGCTTGATGATTTGCTTTTTGCCCACCACTAATTATTATCCAAATGTATTCACCTCTTTTCCTATCAGCCTTGGCCCTGGACCATAGGAAGAATGCTCATAAGTTTCCTCTATCTGCTCTACTTGGCCGTCAGTTTCAGTCAACCAGCTACAAGGAAGCCTGAACTTTCTCTAGTAGAGGCCATTGTCTCTGACCCTAAATCCTCTTAACACCTCATCAGAGCCTGTGGTCCTTTAGCTTTAGTCCTTTTTTATTGGCCAAATCTCCCTTTTCCTCCTTTCAATCCTCCAATTTGTGTTTCTTCCTCAAGAATCATGTCCTAAAAGAATGTACTCATTATTCCCAGAAAGAAGGTGGCTGGCCTCTCACAACTGCTGAAGCCAAAAAAGTTGAACTTCCTGGTCCCCTGGCCCCCCCCCACCTTACTGCCATTTTCCAGGTCAATGTGTTTTGGATTGGGTTTAGGTACAGTCTAAGGAAAAGGCCCAACACTTGATATCCAGGGTGCAGGGCAATGGGCAGTGGTAGGAGGGAGTCGTCTAGATATGCCTGAAAGACGGAAGGAGAATTGGAGCCATGAGAGTAGGGCCATTAAGGGCTGCATAAAAAGTACTATTTACCTCAGCATAGAAATGAATCATAGTTCCACTTTATTTCCGATTTCACTGAACAGAGAGAAGATTAAAAGATTTCTCCACAAAAAAGGAAAGTGGGCAAATAGCACAGCCAAGCAAACCAGGCAATCTAGACATACCTTCCCATATAAGCAAACCAGGAAGCTCAGGGCTCACAAACGGAGCAAGGCAGAACTTAAGAGTCTTTGAAAGAGCATTCATGGGGAAGGAGGAAGGACCACAACATAAACGTGCATGAGCTCATCTAGGGTAGAGAGGACACTGAGTGGAAGGAGACCCCTTCTTCATGTTGTCTCTGCCCCAACCCCTAGTGGAGAGGGAGAAGAAAGTCTGTTTAGAATATCAGGCAACCCATGACACTTGCAGCAGGAATGGGGCATGGGTGGAGGCAGAACAACTTTGGACATGGGAAGTCACGGTGCGGAAGACAGGGAGGGCCATTTACTGGAGGAGCTTGACATAATTTGCAGGAAAGAGTCCAAAGTGGCCGTGGCAATGTCCCCGCCACCAGCCCTCGTCCACCATCTCAATGTCAGTGATGATGTCATCAGGATCGAAGGAAATCTCGTCGCTTCCCTCTGGGGAGGCAATTGATGGAATATTAGGATGGTCAAACAGTAATCCTTCCATTCCTGTGCCCACTGTAAACCTCAGGGAGGGAAAGGGGCTGTTCTTCTGGATGCCCAGGCTGGTCCTTCCCTGACCCCCAGAATCCATCTCCCTCTCTCCTAGTAAGGGCCCCCCAGGCACCAGACCCCTCAGGCCACTCCAAACCTACCTCCTTGGTAATCATACAGGGCTATAGCTGAGATCCCTGCTCCAGTCCCAGCTGGGTAGCCAGATGATTCTGCATAATGAGAGACATAAACATGGTCTCACCAACATGGAGAAGGAAAACAGGTCTTTCTAGGGAATGGGGCAATTCTTCCTCTTGCCCTTCCCTGGACTAGACCCAATTTCAGGAGCTGTTTCTCCCCCACCACTCACCGGCCAGAGTGGAAGGACAAGGAGGATTCTCAGTTTCAAGCACATCTTCATAGTCCCCATCTGGTTCACCATCCTGCTCATGTCTGTCCATGTCTCCAACATCCTCATAGTCATTCTCAGGCTCAGGCTCAGGCTCAGGCTCAGGCTCTGCTTCATACACTGGCTCTTCCTCCAGCTGCAGGACTTCCGGAGTCCTGGGAGGCAAAGCTGGGGGCTCCTCGTCCTGTGAAGAGACGGTGTGGATCAGAGTGATTTCTACCCACCAGGAGCTACCTCTCTACAACCTCCCAGTGGAGGACTGCTAAGACCGCCCCCCATCACCATCCTACCACTTCTACCCTCTGTCCTTGCCTCCATCTAATAGCCTCCCCAAGGGCACCCAGTCTCGTATCCATCTTTATTCCTCGAGCTCCTCCCATACCTACCTACTCAAAACGCCTACCAAGAGGTGATAGGAGGGAAATGTAAAGGGTGTGAGGAGAGGGAAATGGAAAGCAAGTCTGATTCCTTGAATGACCGGGAAAACATTGAAGCAAAAACACATTGTTGGGAACACCACAGGCAGGATGACCAACTGTCCTGGTCTGCCCAGGACTGGGTGGTCCCCAGAATGCAAGACTTTCAGTGCTAAGACCAGG